AGTGCACTGTTGAACATACAGTATCTGCTGATGATCGGTTGATCCACAAGCTTTATCAGCGGTGGTGAACTGCATTATGGGATGCTGATCTCTGCTCTGTTCTCTTCTGATGTTGTAAATTCAGCTCTACAGTTTAACAAAGTGACTTTACTGACATTTTAGTCGCTTGAAATAAAATCTAGAGAAATAAATTAACAGTAAATGTGCTGCAGTTTATTACAAGCTTCCAACACCAACCCAGAGTATATAGCACTGCAGACTATGACACATGTGCAGCAGACACACTTTACACTGTTACAGGTTAAAGGTTGATGGAGGAAAGATCAAGATCCCATAATGCAGTTCACAAGCAGAAATACACACAGGAGAACAAACACACACATCACTAAGTCAAGGGTTACCGGTTTCCAGCATTCTTCAAACTATCTACTTTTGTGTTTTACAGACGAAAGACACTCATAAAAGTGTATGAAGCAGAATAAATGATAATGATGCTGATTTTGGGTTTGTTTGTTTCGAGCTCTGAGTTTCCTACAGTCGTCTGTTCACGTTCATTCAGTGATGATCTATAATGCTTATTCTACACAGGGCTTTCCCTAACGCACAGTGCGAAAGGTGTTCTTCATCTGTGTGTGTGTGTGTGTGTGTGTGTGTGTGTGTGTGTACAGTGCTGCAGTGAGCAGGTCTGTGCGGCGGTTCCTCTGTCAGCAGCAGTGTAATCACTCTTGACATCTCGCAGGCCTCGTCTGTTTTAATCAGAGCCGCCACTTTAGGGGCATTTTCTGTTATTACGCCATGATTGTCATAAAACACGGGATGAGAGCATTTGGCCATCGGGGTGGCATTGAGTCACACACACACACATACACACACACGCACACGTGCACACGTGCAGATCGCTTGCTAAATACACACAGATTGAGCGAGAGATGGTCAGTGACGGACATTTACACACACACACACACACACACACACACACACACATATATATATATATATATACATACATACAATTCAGATTAATTGAAAATACAGTTATTTCATATTAAAATATATTTAAAGTACAATGTGGGTGGCACGGTGGCGCAGTAGGTAGAACGTTTGCCTCACAGCAAGAAGGTGTCTGGTTCGAGTCTCGGCTGGGTCAGTTGGTGTTTCTGTGTGGAGTTTGCATGTTCTCCCCGTGTTGGCGTGGGTTTCCTCCGGGTGCTCCGGTTTCCCCCACAGTCCAAACACATGCGCTATAGGGGAACTGATCAACTACACTGGCCGTAGTGTATGAGTGTGTGAA